GTATTTATGAAGATCATACTGCTCAATTAATCCACCCGTAAAATCTTCCAACGCCTCAGACGTTAATCCACCTTCTAATGCTTCGTATGAACCGTACAGTCTGAAAATTAGTTGCTATCAACGAATCGAACGTTTAAAACGGTGTTGCAGATCAATCACTGGAAAGTGATTGATCTAAAATGGTTGGTTTAACAAACGCAAATCAACTCCTCACAATCGTACTTCGCATACGCCTTCTCAAGAAGTGCACTCCAAAATTCATTGTTTTCCTCCGAATGCATATAAATTAGTTCACCATTTTTGGTCGGTAAACGATCATCAACCACAACATCCACCCAGGCACCGTAATGCCAGAATTGGAAGTGGAATATACCTGCAAAAATATTCAGCATTTTAAACGAATCCCTTCAGATTCTACTTTCCTTTCAATTTCGATATCAATCACCAACTGCTCCTTAGCGATCTCTGAATGACGCAAATTCTAATTTCACCTCTTAAGTAGATGAAAGAACAATGACAGACTGATTGATTGATCGTTCAAACGGTGTGAGCCTCTCGGAAAATTTTGCTTCAGAACATTACCGCAATAAGAACTAAGCGAACGTTGAATAAAAGATTGGTTAAGGATTTATTGGAATAGGAACAGACCCGCATAGTTTTCTGTGAAACTCTGATCGGGAGGCACAACACGATAAAAGAGTTCATCGCGAAGTGTTAGATTGGCAACTGCGGCTAACAACCAACAATCGCCGAGAGCACCTTGTTTTACGTCGAACCTCGAATGACCTTCCACTATCAATTGTGGTTCATTAACAATCTCCTAAAGTGGATCACATCATCACTTTTCATAGTGCAATACTTCGTTTAAAATTTCGAATCGAATGCACGATGCGTTTACGATTTTCAGTGTATCGCAACTTTCGACATATTCAAAAAGAAATTCAATCGGATCAATACCAAAACTGGATGCTCTCTAGCAAATATGAGAAAGATGATGGAATATGAGAATATACTCCGGGTCTCAGCCACTGAATGTGACGCGAGCTTGGTTTACTGTAGAAGAGACTCGCATCGCACGCCGGAAATTCTGGATCTTCAAAGAGAATCCTACTTTGTAGACAACGATCACGCTCATCATAGAAGTTCAGTTGAAAAGATGGTAGGTCTGGCCTGGGCGATGTGAACGGTTGCACCTGAAGAAATGAAAATGTTCTGTTCGTTTGACTACACTAAATTATGGTTTGAAGTGGATGAACGGAAATGAATTACCAATTCGATTATATTCAAACAGTTATTCATTATGAATTGGCAGCGAGATAAATTGGTATGAGTACCTTATTATGTGGAATATGACGGAATATCAAAATCTCAAATCAATTTTAGCG